ATGGAAATAATTGACTGTTTTCTCCCTAGAAGAACCATTAGGCCAAACTAACCCTATTTGAGGACCCACCCCCAAGACATATATACAAATGGAGGGGCCACACCCTTCATGTCTAAGATTCAGGAATTAATACCAGCCACTCCACTCCCACAGGCTTGCCCTCATTTTCAACGTGGTCAGTGCATGCTCCCACTGTTGTCTTGGTGGCCTAGAGCCTGAGGGAATCAAGCCCTGCTTTTGGGGTCCCTGCCACCAGGGTCACTGGTAGCTCTGATCCGCTAGGATGGGCAGGTCTGGAGAGAATCTGGGCTAAGACTCTTGTGCATGAATCCACCAACCCATGCCTGGACCAGAAGCTGACTATGGGAGAACTTCCTAGGGTAGGTCTCAGTTCTCAGATGTCACACCATAGAGCAAGAGTCCACTGGTCAGCTGCTTCAGGAAACCCCATAGCTGGCTTTCTGACGCTTCACTTGGAGGACTCGGTTTGTATCACAGCTTATTAGGTAGGAACCTCTGCCTTCCTTTGTCGAATTCAGCACTTTTCCAGGGCAGCATCTGGCTGGGGAACCTTTCTTTAATTCCTCCAACACCACAACAATCCAGGGCACCCGAGTTCTCCAGCACACTTATGAATTGCTCCCTTGAGGAGAGCTTTTAGACTTCATATGTAGAGAAGGAGTTCCAAAAAATGCCTTAGCACATGACACATTATCCCTTGTTCATACATGACACCTCCCTCCATTAGGTCACCTTTATTTGATTTAGCGATCATTGTGATGGGCATGACGCACTGACACTTGGGAGAGCTTTAGGGTCTGTCATGGTTAGACTTCCGGTTAACAACATAAGCCAGGGACATCTGGGAAGAAGGGACTTCAACTGAAAAAGTGTTTTCATTAGATTGACCAGCCTGTAGGCAAGCCTGTGTGGAAGTGGTTCTCTACCTGTGGGCCATGATCCCTTTGGACGTTGAGTGACCTTCCCACAGGGGTCTCCTGAAACCACAGGAAAACACAGGTATTTACACTATGATTCATAACAGTAGCAAAATTAAAGCTATGGAATAGCAATGAAACTAATGTTATGGTTGGGGGTCAGCACATCATGAGGAACTGTGTTAAAAGGACACAGCACTAGGAAGGCTGAGAACCACTGCACTAGGACATTTTCTTGATTAATGACCGATGGAGAAAGCCCAGTTCACTGGGAACAGTGTCATCCCTGGGCAGGTGGTCCTGGATTCTACAAGAAATGAGGGGAACAAACCACGGGGAGCAAGTCAATAAGCAGTGTTCCTCTGTGGGGATTATTTTTTTCTCTGTTTGGGTTTTTTGTTGTTGTTTTGTGTTTGTTTGTTTGTTTGTTTTCTGAGACAAGATCTCCCTACGTAGCTTTGTAACCTGTCCTGGAACTAGCTCTTGTAGACCAGGCTGGTCTCAAACTCACAGAGATCCGCCTGCCTCTGTCTCCCAAATGCTGGGACTAAAGGCATACGACACCAATGCCCGGCTCCTCTACAGTTTCTGTTTCAGTTCCTGCCTCCAGGTTTCCGCCTTGAGTTCCTGGCTTGGCTTCGCTCAACTGACTGTGACTTTAGATATGTCATCTTGACCCATTGAGGAAGAGGACTGGGGGTGAGAAGCTAAAGAAGACAGGTAGCTGGGACCACGAGGTCTCGCACAAGCTGATGACATAGGCCAAGCAGGCTTACCAAGAAGTACAGCATCTTATACACTGTCTGCAGGGAAAAAATGTCCAAGGTCAGCAGAGAGCTAAGTCAGGCCATGCTGGCAAAGAGAACACACCTTTGATACAGCTGCCTTAGGATGAATAACCACAGCCCTCCAGAAGAAACAGTGGGGTTCCCAGGTCCCAACATTTTAACTCCTTTAAGTCCCTGGTTCCAGGCCCAGACTGGAACTTGCCAAGTCCTCTCCTGGACAAGGACACAGAACTACTGTTCCCTTTGTCATTTCATCAGAGCCTCTGAGAAAGTTTTGGGTTGGTCTGACTCCCAATGTAAGCCAAATGCTTAATTTCTTTCCCCAAATCCTCTCGGTCATAGTGTTTTCTCACAATAATAAAAGCATAACCAAGACAGGGTCTTACAAAAATAATCCAATGTCTTTTAAGCCCTAAGTAAAAGTATGCTTTCAAATTAAAGCTATTTACTCCATAAGATTATTTGTCTTTACAGCAACACAATTACAAATGTTTCAATATTTGTTGTTGTTGAAGTTTTGGGGCACGTGTGTGGGGGGTGTCTCACCTAGTTCAGACTGGTATGAACACTGGGCATAGCCAATGATGATGACCTTGGACTCCTGATCATCATGGTTCCCCCTCCCAAGTTCTGGTATTGCTGGTGTGTTCCACTGTTGTGAGGTGTCCACCAGACAAGGGTTGAAGCCCATAGAAAGTCTTTATTAGCTGCCTGGTGACTACATTGGGTGTTCAGGACCTGAGTGCAGTTCCAAACCTTTCTCGGGTGGACTTTTAAGAACTAAAGGCACATCCTGGGTTGACACACCTCAGTTAGCAAGAGTAGCAATTCAGAAGCCAAACTATAGAAGCCAAAAAGCAGGGCCAGTTCGTTTAGGGACTTCCCCAGAACTATGGACTTTGATGGATTAGGTCTTTGTTCTCACTTTGGCAGGTGTTACTGCTTGTGTTTTGGTTCCAAGTTCTGAAAGATGCTTCCATCATGGCGTCGGTTGTGCTAAGGTCTGGGGGCCTGTCATACCATCACACCTAGCAAAAGTGAGTTGCAACGATGGAAGAACCTACACAGGAAAGCAAGGGCCTTGATGCTGCAGCTGTTAGTGAGAACACAGCCCTTCCTAATGCTCTGTGGAGGTTTGAATAAGAATACTCCCTCCTGCCCCCATATATTTGAAAGTTAAGTCATCGGGGAGTGGCACTATTTGAGAAGGATTAGCAGGCGTGGGTTTGTTGGAGGAAGTGTGTCACTCTGCTGGGTCCAGTTCTCTGTTCTCCCTGTGGCCTTCAGATCAGGATAACTTCTCAGCTGCTGCTCCAGTTTCTTGCTGGCCACCATGCTCCCTGCTGTGATGGTAATGGACTGAGCCTCTGAAGCTATAAGAAAGCCCCTAATTGAATGATATTCTTTTTAAGTGTTGCCTGAGTCGTGGTGGCTCTTTAACAGCAATGGAACAGTGACCTTTAAAATATACATGGGTATTTATATTTGGTTTGAGTGATATATTGATTTTTCTTTCTTTCTTTTTTTTTTTTTTTTTTTTTTTTTTTTTGGTTTTTTGATACAGGGTTTCTCTGTACTGTTTGGAGGCTGCTGGAACTAGCTCTGTAGACCAGGCTGGCCTCGACCTCACAGAGATCTGCCTGCCTCTGCCTCCTAAGTGCTGGGATTAAAGGTGTGTGCCACCAATACCAGATGTATTGATTTTTCATCTAAATGATACTATGTTTTATGTTTGTATGAATCCATTACTGTAACACATGCCTGAACTAATCAGCTTACAAAGACAAAAAGTTAATCTAGGCCGGGTGGTGGTGGTGACACATGCTTTTAATCCCAGCACTCGGGTAGCAGAGGCAGATGGATCTCTGTGAGTTTGAGACCAGCCTGGTCTACAAGAGCTAGTTCCAGGACAACCTGCAAAACAATACAGGGAAACCCTATCTTGGAAAAAAAAAAAGTTAATCTAGGCTCCAGGCTTTGGAAGCTTCAGTCCCAAGATTTCCTAGCTAGGAGGTCCATCACAGCAAGTGGAGTGGGTGCTTTGCTTTGTAGTTGAGATGCAAGAGAGGAGAAAGAAGGCATTGGGTTCCCTCCATCCTCTTCAAGGGTGAGTCCCCAGTGTCTTAACTCCTCCCACAAGTCTCCACTCTTAAAAGATTTCCACCATCTCCCTGTGGTGCCACACCTTCAAAACACAGACCTCCTGAGACCTCAGTGAATCAAGAAGAGTATAGCAATACTTTCATATTTCTTGTTTTGTCATTAAGAACACATTTGAAATGATGTGTGCTGTTATATGTCTGACCCGTGAGTTCTACCTGCTGCAAAGTCTGTGCCTGGGCAAATGATAGGTGGCCACCCTCCCAGCCACAGTGGGCGTTCCCCTCCTGGGGAATGTGTGGCAATGTCCTCTGGCTTCATGCTCAGCACTGAACAGCTGAGTCAGAGGGTATCTGCGTGTTCAATCTGGCTAAGTGGTGTCTGAAAGGCTCTCCAGAGAAAACACCCTTTCCAGAGTTTTCCTTTTGTTCTGGCTGTGTCAGGGTGAGCAATCAGTCTTGTTAGCTCCATAAAGCAAATTAGGTAGTTCCTCTTGCATTCTAGAACACTGTATATTATACTGGAAATAGTTGTTCCCTGAAAGCGGCAGTGCCAGCCTCTTGGTGCCAAAGTCCATTTGCAAAAAGCGATTTCTCTCAAGCAATTCTTTGCTGGCTACTAGTTCCAGTCATTTTTTAAAAATGTTTTTCGAGCTGATATTGTTACCCAGCAGCAAGAAGTGAGTGAGGCATAAAGGTGTGAATTTTTGTTGTTTATTGCTTGGTGGTTATTGCTGTATGGGAGGAGGAGGCTGCTTGCTCATGTTTGTTCTGTAACGCATGGACCAGCTTGAGGTTGCTGCCCTCATATGTAGATCATAAGCATTCAGTCTCTTCACCCCAGTTCTTTTCAACAATCTCTCTCCCCGCTCCCTTCTTCCTTTCCCCCTCTCTTTTTTTTTTTTTTGTTTTTTTGTTTTTTTGGTTTTTTGGTTTTTCGAGACAGGGTTTCTCTGTACTGTTTTGGACGCTCTCCTGGAACTCGCTTTGTAGACCAGGATGGCCTCGAACTCACAGAGATCCACCTGCCTCTGCCTCCCGAGTGCTGGGATTAAAGGCATGCGCCACCACCGCCCGCCATTTCCTCCTCTTTTTAACTGATGGCAAACGTAGTCACATACTTTAGGGGCAATCATTGTGTGTGTATATATCAGTTCTGGAATTTTCTTCCATAGGAGAAGTTTGCTGAGACTGACAAATGACTCCTTGGAAGTCATGAGATCCTTTAGAAGTCTGAAGCATTCTGACGACACAGTAAGTTTTTGTCTTCGTCCTCCTCCTTCTCCTCTTCTTTGAAATTTATTCCCAGCACTGGGGAGACAAGAGGCAAGTTATCTGTGCGTTCAAGGCCATCCTCATCTACAAAAGGAGTTCCAGGCTAGCTGGAGCTACATAGTCAGAATATATATATTAAAAAGTCACTCTAAAGTTGTGCTTACATTATGTTTTAGTGACTGTCCTATTGCTGTGAAGAGACAATGTGACCAAAGCAACTCTTATAAAATATAGCATTTAATTGGGGATTTGCTCACAGTTTCAAATGCTTAGTCCATTATCAGCGTGACAGGAAGTAGACAGGCTTGGTACTAGAGCAGTGGCTGAGAACTTTATATCCTGATCCTCAGGCAAGGTATGTGTGTGTGTGTGGGGGGGATGAGATGGGAGGCGGGGAAGGGTTGGGATGGGGGGCGGGAGTGGGGAGGTGGGGTAGTGGGGTGGTGGTGGTAGTGGTGGTGGTGATGTTGGGCCTGTCAAAAGCTTTTGAAACCTCAATTCCCACTCTCAGTGACACACCTCCAACAAGGCTGCTCCTACTAATCCTTCCAAATAGTTCATCAGCTGAGGACTATGCATGCAAATATATGAGCCTGTGGGGCTTTTTCTCATTCAAGCTACCATATATTACAAAACTTCCATCATCTGAATCCCATTTCAGTAAATGGATGTAGAGGCTGGGACTAGAGAGATGATGAGCTGATAAGAGCAACTAGTGACCTCACAGGGGACCCAGGGTTCAGTTTTCAGCACTGAACCAGGTGGCTCACAATCATCTGTAACTCTAGTTCCAGAGGATCTTATGCCCTTTCTTGGCCTCTAGAGGCACCAGACATGCACGTGGTACACATCAACGAGAAAGCACACCACCCCCCACTCCGCCCAGACTCTGGCTCAAATATTTGAATATTTGGTCTCCAGTAGGTGGAGCTGCTTGGGAAGGATTAGGACATATGGCCTTGTTGGAAGAGATGGGTTTGCGGTTGTAAAAGCCCATGGCATTCCAGCTAGCTTTTTCTTATGATGTATGCTCTCAGCTGTTTGCTCCAAGTGCCACACCTGCCTGCCTGCAGCTATGCTCCCTGCCATGATGGTCACCAACACTAACTCTATGCAGCCATGAGTCCCCAATTAAAGGTTTTCTTTTATAACTTGCCTTGGTCATGGTGTCTTATTACAGCATTAGAAACATAGTTAAGACACAAGCAAAGTACACATATACATATATGTAAAATTAAAATAAAATCTTAAACAAAACTGAAGAGAGATCAAGGAAGACATCCAACATTGACGTCTGCCACACACACATTCTGGAAACATTCCTGGTCATGTGATCTGCTGCCAGGACCTTTTTAATGTTTGAAAAGGACCCTTCCTATTTGTAAATACCTATTTATAGAGGGTTTTGTTGTCTTTAAAGTTATGACTATTTAATTTTCAAATACAAAAACTGAGTTTTCAGATTGTCATGCTAAATTTAGAAATCTTGTTAGATTTTCTGATAAAGCTGATGGAATAAGGGGTCTTCATTTTTATTGTCTTTAGATACATGTCAACGTAAGCCTATTTTAGCAGACTAAATTCCCTTGAACATTGGTCCCCCTCACAAATTTAATTAAGGTCCCTTAAACATTCCCAACTTCACTTAGACATAAAATACACTTAATTTCTTAAGTGCTTCTAATGTTTGACAATCGAATTTATGACCTCGCAAATGAAGCCTTCTTGGGTTTGGCTAATGCTTGGACAGGAGTCAAGCTTACAAATGCAGCTCCCTCTGTGTTCTCCAAAATATTTTAACACTGGTTGACTGTTTGTTCATTGTTTACAAATGCAGCTCCCTCTGTGTTCTCCAAAATATTTTAACACTGGTTAAATGTTTGTTCATTGTTTTTTATGCTTTGCAACTAAAGAATCACAGGCAATAGCACCTTTCAAACTCCAGTGACAAGTCCCATCTAACCGATTTTCTAATCTGCCATCTTGGTTACCCTGCCTATTAAGCCCTGAGTAGACAGTCCCGGTGGGTACAGAGCTGATTCCTGGCTTGGATGGGAAGCTATTAGCCCTTGACCTTTGCCTTGCTTCTTCATCTCTACTCACTTTGAGTCTTTCAGAGTTGGAGGAGCTTATCCACCACAGGGAGCCATCCCATAATACCTTGCAGCTTAACAGGGCAGGGTTAAGCCCTCATGACCACGGTGTCATCAGGATTTACAATAGGGCCCAGACTTGCGGATTTCATGTGACTACTATGGATGAGTTTGTTGACCATTCTTGTAGCTTGCTCTCTCTCTCTCTCTCTCTCTCTCTCTCTCTCTCTCTCTCTCTCTCTCTCTCTCTCTCTCTCTCTCTCTCTCTCTCTCTCTCTCTGTGTGTGTGTGTACATGTCATAGAACCCAAGTTTGGAGGTCAGAATTGATCCTCTCACACCATGTGAGTCCTGGGGATAGAACTCAGATCATCAGGCTTGGGGGCAAGGCCTTTATCCTCTGAACCATCCATCTCCTTAGCTTTCTGCCTTTCTTTTTGAAACACGCTCTTCCTCTGAACCTTGCTAGAGCTTGCCAATTCTGACTGGCCAATGAGCCCATGGGAGTCTCCTGTTCTGCCACCTAAGCACTGGAATTACAAGCCTATCTCCTACTTTTTTACATGCGTTTGGGGCCTCTAACTCAGGTCTTTACGCTCGTACAGCAAGCACTTTACTGGAAGCCACCTTCCCATCTTATTTTTGTAACGTTTGTAAAGGACTTTTTGGGAATCTCTTCTGAGTTGCATGTAACATATTTGGTGGCAGATTCATTTCCTCCTCTTGTCTGGTGTTTGAATGCCTTCTGTTGTCTGAGTCTGGCCATAATTTAGGGACATTTACATCTTTATCTTCTGATCTCCCAACCGTGCATTACAGCCCCTGGCTGGCAGCAGGATAGCAGATGTGAGTCCATGTGGGAGGAGCCTCCCACTGCTCCCTGCAGATAGAATCTCCGATGCCTAAAGAAAGTTTGTGCCCATGCAAATGAATGGATACATTTGCTGCAGAAGCAGAGGGAGGCATGAGTCAGTGCTTTCTCCTCTGACTTTCCTTCCTGTCCTTGCCCTTGAAGGAATGTAGAATTTGTACGAACCACATGGGACAGAAGAGACGATAATGTCTGAACTCTAGGAATGCACCCCAGCGTTTCCCAGGAGGGGAAACCAGATTTGGATTTGAATCTTGTCACTACAACCTAAGGCACCCATGACTTGAGGAGCATTTTTTGGCATTGTTGATCCTATTTTTTCAATATTGAGCACTTATTTCTAGAAGTCAGAAATTATAGCTTACTCTAATGGCTAGTTTGCCGTGTGTGTGTGTGTGTGTGTGTGTGTGTGTGTGTGTGTGTATGTGTGTGTGTGTCTCCTCTTTACCTTTGCTCCAAGTGGTATCTCCTGCAGAGAGCCAATCCACAGGACTTGCAGAAAGATTTATTTATTCTCCCTGTTGGTGACAGTACTTGGGTCCCTGCTCCTCAGCCGTTGGAACTATTGCTGCAGGTACTCCTGCACATGAATGACTTTCTTGTGCAATGTGTGTTCTGTGGACGTTATAGAGACAGTTTTGTATGAGGGATATTTGTGCTGCTGGTAATAAAGACAGAGCCACAGATACTTGTGTGAACCAAAGTTCCCAGAAACAAAAGCACCATATTTATGTTAAAGATTCTGCAAGGCTAATTGATTAGAATTCTGTGACTTTAGACAATCAAAACAATGCAGACCCCGAGTCAAATTGTCTTGATTATTTTAGATCTGATACTAGCCATCCATTGCCCACCTCTGAGTTTAATTTAGAGTCCCAGTTATCATTAGGTGAAAACTCAAAATTTATTAATAGGTCACTAACTGCCACCAACTGAAAAGGAAAACTTGTCATCAGAGCATCGAACGACCACAGCAGATCTCATTTTGTTGTACCGTAATTCACCTACCTGATGTCTCACCCAATGTGTTTGAGAAGCACCTTGATTGGTGTTGTCCTTTTGTTCTGTAACACTAAAAGTTTCATTATGTGTTATTTTGGGCAACCTGAATTTGTGTCCCTGGGCTGCAGTCATTCATATTTGGCTGCAGAATAAACCATGTCTTATTCCCCATTGAGGTGAGCACTGTGTTTTGTGTGGAAACATGTGAAGAGTAGGTCCCACATGGGATGGTGACATGTGTCCTCAATCGGGCGAAATACCTCTATCTCAGCATCATGTGGGTGGGAAGGGTGGGTGGCTAACACGTGGCAGCCTTCCTTGCTCTTGGACTCTATCACGGATATGAAGAGAACTAAGGACTGAGGGAAGGATGTCTTCACACATCATCCATGTGGACACAGACTAAGGGCCGAGGAAGAGGAGGTCCCACCCAACCCTTCAGAACCAGAGCACAGTGATCTCAGACAGCAGTCAGAATAAGCTAGAACTAGGACTCGGAAGTGGGGAACGGAACAAGCTGGCCAGGGATTCCGACCCCATCACCTCTTGGTGATTTGCACTAGGCAGTTCTTGCTGCAGGGGGCATACAGAACGGTAGCAAGGCTTAGCTGAGTCTAACTGGAGGGGCCCCGGCAGAGGGAGCAGGGTTCTCTACTCAGTGCCTCTCCACAGCACCTCCCCCGTGTGACAGAGGCATCCTGGGTGTTGACAAGTACTTCCTAGAAGGGCCAGGGTAAAGGAACGCTGAACGGAACAGTCTCTTACCTGTTCCGTCTTCCACCCACTGTGTGCCCTTTGGTGTTTTATATCATTTTAGGGAATCCTATTCTTCACTCATGTTCAGGAGCAAGGAAAGGGTTCCTGTCTGTGCACAAGCCACATTCCCACTGGAGGAACACTCTTAAGAAGCTGTCCCGATAGGAGAAATCAGAGCCACAGAGTCCCAACGGAAAACGAGGCTCGGTGGCTGGCCACTCAGGAATCCCTTTTCAAGAGTTCATCATTTAATAAGGATAAGGATGTTGGTGTCCATGGTGGTGCAGAACTCTAATCTCAGCACTGGGGGGAGCGGGACAGGGCATCGTAAGTTTGAGGCTAGCCTGGGCTACTTAGAGTGAATTCAAACGAGCCGGAGGTACATAATGAAAATTTTTCTCCAGAAAACGAATGGAAGGAGGGAGAGAGGGCGAGAGAGAAGGGAGGGGGGAAGGAGGGAGAGAGCAGTGTGCCTTTGCTTTACATTGTTCGGCCTATGAGTTCTGGGATGGTGCACACGTAGGAAGCTCTGAGGAAATGTGATGTCACTTTATTGAGACCCAATTAGTGCTGAATTATATATTTGTTGTAGGTACCCTCAGAGGCCAGAAGAGGGCATCAGATCCCCTGGAGCTAGAGTTACAGGTGTTTGGAAGCCATCCGAAGTGAATGCCGGGAAACCAGTGGGTCCTCTGGAAGAGCAGCAAATGCTCTTAGCCACTGAACCTGGTAGAGCCTTACCGCTTTAAGTTGAGAAGTAAATACAAAGAGTAGAAGTTGAACAGGGCTAAAAGCCCAAGAAGTAAGTACACAAAGCTCTTTGAGGCCTCTCTGCCACGCCAGAAGGTCAGAACGATGGTGACATCTGCCTAGCGGAATCTGGAAATGTTTCCCTTGTTTTCACGAGCACTGTGTTAACTCACACGGGACTTACCCTCTTGGAATCTTTTACAGCGTGTACAAATCTTAACTTGTTGGTATAGATACCATTTATGCATCTTTTAATTTTCCCTGCTTTCCTTCCCATGTCTTTGGGTACACTCCTCTCAGCTCCCTTCTGTGATCATCGGGTGGAATAACAAAATGGAGAGGGACTTGGAGGTGGGACAACTTGGAAAACTTCCTCAGACATGGACCCCTGGAGGAGTGACAGCCCAGCGCATGCGTTTTCCTGGAGCTAACTTGTGTTTTTAAAGCATGAGCTGTTGGAGAATGGTTGACTGTTGTTAGGATACAGTTTATATACTGAGTCTAAGAATCATTAAAAGATGTGAGGAATTGAACTGGGCATCGGAGAGGGCTGGGGAGGCTGGTCAGGCAAGCTCACTTTTGGGAACACATTCATTTTGTAAAGGTGTGAAGACAGGAATGAAAATAATATTTTATCCTCTGATACAGCTAGGTGTTCAAAGGCTACAAGAGGGCCTAAGATGGAGAGACTTTGTCTGGTCCAAACGGATGTGGGATGGCTTTGTGGAAGGTGGGGCATTAGCGCTGAAGCAGGTGTAGCGTGTTGGCAGATGGAGATGGCTGGGTCGGAACTGTGCTGTAGGTGGGAGGAAGACCAGAGTGTGCATACAGAGCTGGGAAGGAGCCCAGCTAGCTCTGGGATGCAGGCCTGGCAGGGATTAAGATGTGTTCCAGGCAAAAAAGACCATGCTGTGAAAAACACAGCAGTGGATCCAGACGGGGTTGTAGTTGCGTCACAAAAGTTTGATTGCCAAATTAAAGGAGTTTAGAGGCCTTTCTGTGAACAGATCTGGGGTAGGGAGCAGTGAACAAAATATTTACCAGGGGAGTAACACCAGATTTCTATGTTCAGGAGATTAATTTAGCCATCAGAAGTTGTGTGGATTCCAGAGGCTCCTGGAAAATGGCGAGTGCACCAGTGGACATACAGGGTGAGTGAGTTGGGCAGTGTGCACTTGGTGCTTGGGGACTGAGTGTGGACACACTTGTCACTCAGGCTACCGTGCCTACTCTGTGTTGCTGAGTGTTTCAATAGCCCTGAGGGACATGGACATATTTTTAAATGTTAGGTGTTAAATTCAAATCTAACACACACACACACACTCACACACACACTCACACACTCACACACTCACACACTCACACTCACACACTCACACACTCACACACTCACACACTCACACTCACACACTCACACACTCACACACTCACACACACACTCACACACTCACACACACACTCACACACTCACACACACACTCACACACTCACACACTCACACACACTCACACACTCACACTCACACTCACACACTCACACACTCACACTCACACACTCACACACTCACACACACACACTCACACACTCACACACTCACACACTCACACTCACACACACACACTCACACACTCACACACACACACTCACACACTCACACACACACTCACACACTCACACACTCACACACTCACACACTCACACACACACACTCACACACACACTCACACACTCACACACACACTCACACACACACTCACACACACACTCACACACTCACACACACACACTCACACACTCACACACACACACTCACACACACACACACTCACACTCACACACTCACACACTCACACTCACACACACACTCACACCTCGTGGGATGAGGCTGTGGACCAGTGGTAGTGTGCTTCCCCGGCATGCACAAGCCCCTGGGCACCAAGTATGCTTTCCAGCATCACAAACAAAACAACCACAAAAAGCAAACAAAACTACTGGGCAATAAAAAAAATTCCTCTTAAAATATATGTAAGAAGAAGAAAGTTAGTTGACTTAGAGGGAAAACCTTAGCAGGTGGAGAAGCATGGATCCCAAAGTCAGCCTGACAGCGACAGGTCACGACCAGTCTTGTTTCTGAATGCGACAAAATTTTCCATGTCCAGTTCACCCAACGCTGGCATTTTCAGCCTTTTATCTCCAGTGATGCATGAAAAGTTCCAGCTAAAGAGATTTTAGGATTAGAGATAAAAGTGGAAAAAAAGCTTCCAGGATCAAAACAGCCCTAGCATACCAGGGTGGACCTCGTGCTCTGGGAAGGCTTGTGCAGTGAACCTCCTCTCTGGGAAGGCTTGTGCACTGAACCTCCTCTCTGGGAAGGCTTGTGCAGTGAACCTCCTCTCTGGGAAGGCTTGTGCACTGAACCTCCCCTCTGGGAAGGCTTGTGCACTGAACCTCCTCTCTGGGAAGGCTTGTGCACTGAACCTCCCCTCTGGGAAGGCTTGTGCACTGAACCTCCTCTCTGGGAAGGCTTGTGCACTGAACCTCCTCTCTGGGAAGGCTTGTGCACTGAACCTCCTGGGTGAACTGCTTGGGAGGAGAGGTAGCTGCGAGCACCATCCTCCTGTCCTGTGACAGTTGTTCACCCGGGAAACCATCCTAGACAATGGATGCTGGAGGTCTTCTGCCCTGGTGTGCTTTTGCTGACTTCCCAAGCACATTCCTGATGCCTCTGGGGCAGGGACACTGATGGGAACAAGAACATTTTGACTACATACCCATGTGTCCCTTTTATTTTTATTTAATTTTGGGACGGGGTCTAGTGTAATCCAGCCTGCCTTCTCACTCTCTATATAGTTGTGGATGACCTTGACTTGTTTTTTTTCCAGGACGGAAGATTGAACCTAGGGCTTCGTGTATGCTAGGGAAGCACTCTTCACTGAGCTACAGTCCCTGCCTGACCTTGAACTTCTGATTCTCTGGCACCCACTTCCTGAGTTCTGGGTTACAGTCTGGGGATGGACCCCGCGGAGTGGTTCAAGCTAGGTAAGCGCTCTACCCATGGAACCACACGTTCTTAGCTGCCTCTTGTTCTTCTCAAATTATTCTGTATGATAGACATGTCCTTTCTGATCAAAATGTAAATACAAATGCTCCAAGGTACAAGGGGTTCATATCCAAGCGCTCAGTGTGGAGTCCTCCGTACCTCTCTATTAATACTCTGAGCATTTGCCTCTAGTCTTTTCTGAACTTGCACAAAGATACGCTTGATGACAGTAGACTCAGATTAGGCAAACATTGTCCTATCTTCTTGGACCATTTATGGGGGTTTCATGATCATTTCCCCATGTCATTCTGGATTCTCACCAACACTTCTTTAGGGGTGATTTTCTCACAAATGAGGAAACTTTCTCGGTGTCCTTTATCATCTTCCTCTCATGGGGAACTTGCGTAGTCTTTTGCATTTCATATACAAGCAGATTGCTCATTATCTAATCAGTTGCGAGTTCCTTGAGAAATAACCCATCCTAAGAACAGTAACACAAAAGAAACGCAGCTCTACTGAGATGGGATTTACACAGTATAAAATTCACCTTCAGTGTACAACTCTGCCTTTATTTTTTTTTTTGAGGCAAGGTCTCTCTTTGTAGCCCAGACTGACCTCAGATTCACTAAGCAGCCCAGGCTAGCCTTGATCTCCCTATGTTCCTTCATGTGTGTGCATGTGTGCATGTTTGCATGCACACACGAGTGTGTGCGTGTGCATGTGTGTGTGTGTGTATTCACATGGCAATGTAACCCTAACAGTGACCCGAAAGGGAAGAAACTTCCTACCAGCTATTGCCCATCCCCCATGGCTATCCAACTCCACTTTTTTCTCTCTGGCATTTCATTGGCTGCAAATAGAATTTCAGGATAAAAGGTGACTGTGACTGGTTTCGTTCACTTAGAGAGATTTTCCAGGTGTGCCCATGCTGCACCCCATGGAACTTGGAGGAGAGTGGTGTGAAAACAACTGTTCGTTCTTTTCATTAAAAACCAAGACTGAGCTGGGTGTTGGTGGGGCACACCTTTAATCCCAGCCTGGTGTGCAGAGCGAGTTCCAGGACAGGCTCCAAAGAAATACAGAGAAACCCTGTCTCGAAAAACCAAAACCAACCAAATGAACAGAAACAAGACTGTTGTGTCATGGTTCTGACAGATGTGGTAAAAATTGATTCTTTGGGGAACCCATTTCTAGCCCACCTTGCCTCTTCTCCAGATCCCAGGATATTTTAACTCTCTCATCCTTCACCTCTTCCTCTCTCCTCCTTCTGGGCTAGTTCTTAGGGTCGGGGGCCAATAACTGTGTTTTAGGGAGGAAAGTGTGATGGGGGAAGTTGGGGGCCAGTGGGTAGTGGGGATGAAAGGCTGGAGACAGGAAAGGGGTTCAGAGTTAATGCAGAGGAATGTGAGGTTGAGTTGGGAGACTGGCAGTGAATACAGGCTAACCGGGTCTGGGGACAGTAGAAGAAATGCCCCCACCCCTTGCTGACGGTACGGTGTCCAGGGAGCTTTGGTGCATGGCACTGCCATCACCCAAATGGGCAAATCGAAAAGGGAACGTGGGTGGTGATGCCGAGAGATTGCAGACTCAGTGAATGAAGGCATCAAAGAGAGACAGATGCGTGATGAGGTATGGGAAAGATGAGCTGAGCATCGAGCAGGGACTGGGACAACACAGGGAGGGATTTCCAGGCTCTGAGGGACAGCTGAAGCTAGAAAGAGGAGTGAACAGAGGAGGCGAGGGAGGAGAGAGACAGGAGAAGGGGAATCGGAAGACGCTGTGTTGGGAGGAAGAATCGCTGTCAGTCCAGGGAAGGCAGAGGAGGTGGCGGGGGGGGGAGTTCTGGGGGGCCTCCCTGAGACAGGTTTCCTGGGAGCTCAGGGCTGAGCTGCAGTGAGGCCTGGGCATGGGTGATTAGGAGGTGGGGATGAAGGCACCTAGTTCTCAGAGAGCTTGACCAGCAGAGGCCAACTCAAGGGAACCAGTGGGCAAGAAGAGTCTCAGGGGTTCGGCACTGGCTGCTGTCCTGATCATCTCTACATGGAAGCAGGGTTCTCTCTTTTCTCTGGGGTGGTGGGGCATCTCAGCGGGTGGGGGAGGTGGGAACAGCCCTACCTTCCCCCCATTGTCTAAAGACTAGACTGTGGCAAAGCTTTTCTTGGAGTGGGGGGACCGCCTACTGACTATTTGAGAGTGATGCTCTCAGGAAGGGAGCCAGGCCACATGGGCTTGTAGCAGAAGGCATCTAGGTGACATACAGGCTGCTGAGCTAGACTATGTCACTGATACTGTGAATTCAGGTTTCCAGCCCTGTGACAGACACCTAAAATAACCAGCTTACATAGATAAAAGGTCTGTTCTTGCTTGTTTCAGTCCATGACTGATTGGTCAGGTCTGGTGTGTGTGTGTGTGTGTGTGTGTGTGTGTGTGTGTGTGTGTGTTCCTCAATTGCTTTCCACCTTATTTTTGGAGACAGTGGTTTTCAGTCAATCAGGAGCTCACTGATGCGGCTAGATTGGGCAAACCTCAGGATCTTCCTGTCTCCAGCTTCCCGTTACCAGGATTATCTGCATTCAACACTATATTGACTATTATATATTATGTTATTATACATAAGCTATTCAGTGTTCTTTTTAAACTGTATCCTTGGGCATTCACATTGAGAAGGACCAGGGTGTTGCCTGGGAATGAGTTTTTGCTCTGCTATTGTGCATGTCGCTTGTGGTTTTGGCTGTTCATCAGCAGGGCATGCTTTTAGTTTTGTGTGGGACAGACCCTGCAAATGCATATTTGCTTTTGCAGATTAGAAGAAGCTGTCCTTAGATGCAAGGACAATGACCTCTTTTGAAGAGTAGTAGGGAAGAAGATTCATTTTAAAGTCACTTCATGCCACAAAACTGCAAAGCAAGGTGTGCCCTCTGATAAGGAGCTGCTGATTGCAACACGGGTGAAGGTTGGCAAAGCTGTTTCATGAACACGGCATCCTAAGTCTACAGGGGAGCTATAGGCACAGCTCATATCTTTCCTAGAACCTATCCAAAGCCAAAGATGAAACATCCACTACAAGACACTGTTAAAAAATAACCTTTCACCAGGCAATGTGGCACGTGCCTTTAATTCTACCACTTGGGAGGAAGAGGCAGGAGTTCAAGAGCAGCCTGATCTACGTAGTGAGTTCCAGAACAACCAGGACTTTATATAAAAAATCTTATCTCAAAAGTAAATAGGTAGATAAATAAATAGATGTCTTTCATCTTGATGTTTTCCACTAGGAATGCTTGCTTTGGAATTGCTGTGCCACACTGCCACCTGCTGGTCAGCATTCAGCACAGCTTAGGTCCTTGCTAGTGACCACAGTGGTCTCTTCCTATTTAGGAGCTACATGGCCATTGCCTGATACTCCAGGGGTAGGCTCAGCCTTTATGTAACTTATGGCTTACTCAGTTCTCAGAATGCTCTTTGACATTAAACACACACACACTTAACAAATACAAACCCAGGTGTGGAGAAAGTATATTTTAGGGTAAGAAAAGGAAATTACGGTAAGTCATACATTTCTGAAGACTGAAACTATCACAAATAGCTCACAACACAGAAAGACCATTTTAAAAACACCAACTGCCTCACGCACCTCTTCTAACAGTCTTTCCCCTATATAAAAATTCTTTGTCTCTACATTTAAAGGATAATATGCAGGCTGGAGAGACGACTCAGTGGTTAAGAGCACTGAGCCTAAACCGACACCTAACTGCCTGTAACTCACTGACTCCCTCTACTGGATTCTTCAGGCATCTGCACTCACACTTGTACATGTCCACACATATACACATATTTAAACATTTAAAAAAATGATATGGCAGCAATTTTTATTGCAAGAACAGGAAGTCAGTCAATTCAAATTTCCTTCTGTCCTGGTTCATCAACACTTGTTTGTTGTTTAGAGTCAAAAAGAATCGCCCCCAGATTATAGTGCATTGGTAGCATGTATATTTGGAGATTTGTGGTCAAATCTGGGGACATGGCTATCATCCATGCACGGCTTCAGGATGTCATCTGGTGTTCTTGTGCAGTGCCTAATCCTGAACTCTAAACCAGCTGTACCTATCAGCTAGTCCATGCCAATGCCTATCTTGTAGTATTATTATTAGCTTTTTTACATTTACTCCTTTTAGGTTTTTGGGAGGTAGCACATGTGTATAGGTGGACACGTCATGGTGTGTCTGCAGAGGATGGCTGGTGGGAGTCAGTCCTCCCACCCTGTGGACTCTGGATTGATGGGTTCAGAGGCAAGGGTCTTTATTCAGGGAGCCATGTGAAATTAGTGTGAAATTTAAATATCCGCAGTGTTCTTCTGATGATGTATGCTTCCGCATTAATGGAATCATCCAACAGTCCAAAATCTATGGGTTGCCCTCTACTTGAAATTTATTTTCTTCTTGGTTAATTATTGCCTTTGGGATGTTCTGAAATTTTTCATTTGCAATTTGCTTCTTAATGTCAGGCTAATTTCTCCTGACTAATCACTCTTGCCTTATGTCTTCGTAGTAATCATTTTGCTTCATATCCCACTGGCTTTTTTTCTGCCATAAAAAATTCTCAGCTCTTGAGTAAAATGATGAGAAATAATATTTGTAGCTCTTAACCTGATTTACGGCCCTCCCTGCAAATTTCCAAATCACAGCTAAAGCATTCTCTAATCAATTTTTTTCTTCTCAGAATCCCAAAACCATCTGCAATTACTCCAGTGACCTTGTCATGAGAGAATGTGAAGGGAAGTTGAATGTCTGAACCAGTTGTGGTTAAAGTATCTTATTTTCAAAAACTCCATGTAAATACGTGATCATGCGAACACATTGCTGGGTCCCCCAGAAAAGTCTTTAGCCACAGGAGAACTGCCACAGTTCATTGAAGTTCCTGTTCCCCAGGAGGTGTCAGGATTTGGGAACAACTGCAGCCTATTCCTTCTGTCTGTGTGAAAAACACAGTGTTGCGACTTCCCTTCTCCCCCACAATATGCATTAGAAACAACTAGAAAATAAGAGACTGGCTTAGTTTTGCTCCTGTACTGATTTGACCTTGGTTACATCAAGAAGCCTGGAACATCTGATGGGCGAAGCCTGTGGACCTCATACATGTTGCATGTGTAACTAGTTCTAAACCAATGGTTCTCACTCTGTGGGTCGAAACCCATTTGGGGGTCTAATGACCCTTTCACAAGAGTTGCCTAAGACCATTGAAAAAATATAGATACTTTTATTTATAACAGTAGCAAAATTGCAGTTATGAAGTAGCATTGAAAATAACTTTATGGGTGGTGTTACGGTATGTGGCTTGGTAGTGGGGACCTTAGCTGATCCCATGGCAGGACTAACACGCCAGGCAGACAGAGGTTACTTGGGAAGCTTTATTGGGGGAAGGGAAGGGAATGGGAAAGGGACGGGGAGGAGGGGAGAGAGAACGGGAGAAAAAGGGAGAAAGGGAGAGAGAGAAATCTGTTTCAGAGAAAAGGCAGAAAGAGAGAGGGAAAGTAGGTGGGGCTTGTCTCTTAAAGGAACCTTTGCACCTACATAAAGAGCCAGGTTACGGCCTGCCATGCACACAGGGGTGGCACACTCTGTTAGGTCCCCAAGGGGTGGGGTCAGGTTTGCCTGGATGATAACAGTGGGAGGTCACCACAACATGAGTAACTATATTGAAGAGTTGAAGCGTTGGGAAGGTTGAGAATCACTGGTCTAAATTGAAGCCAGGAGCGATTGCACATCAGAGTTTTAAAATGCAAGCTTGTTATAGTTAGTTATTTGTAACTGATGTGATCCTCTTAATATGTGTACTATTTGGTTGGAAGGTCTGGAAAGTTTAAGTCTTAGCTAAAGGGACTGATTTCTGGAGTCCCAGTCTTGGGTCTACCAGTATGAGAGCTTTCTGGAGTCCCAGTCTTGGGTCTACCAGTATGAGAGATTTCTGGAGTCCCAGTCTTGGGTCTACCAGTATGAGAGATTTCTGGAGTCCCAGTCTTGGGTCTACCAGTATGAGAGATTTCTGGAGTCCCAGTCTTGGGTCTACCAGTATGCTGCTGCAGTTCTCTTGTTTGGCTTGGTGTAGCCCAGGTTGACTCTGAACTTTCAGTCTTCCTGTGTTGGTCTTACAGATGCTGGATTACAGGAGTCTACCGCCACACCCAACTTTGCCTATGTACACTCTTCTGCTATGGATACAGTTTCCTTACAGTCCTGCTCCATGCTCATTATCAGTGACTTAGTACTGTTAAATTAATACTGCGTGCATGTATTCATGGGCACAAACATCGGTGTGTTGTTGGGCATTTTTATGGTTAAAAATTTGCCACACATTTATTTTTAAATAAAAGCCTTTCTTTTCTTATGATCTGCTTTGTATTCCTCAATGTCATTGTCACTTGGAAAATACTACATTGCCACCAGCCAGTTCTGAGTCTCTGGTTCCCCACCCACCTTCCCCAGCAGAAGGCCCTGAGCTCTTATGCAAATCCATTCCTGCATCCATGGAACCTGCTTTACATCTGAGAGGGCTCTGGAGGGAAGTGCCAGGATTCTCCCTGCCACACACCATTTTGTGTTCCTTCAGTGTCTCCAGGACACTGGGGAGCAGAACAAAGGAGTTTGCTGGGCTGTGCTGTTCCACCCCAACACTGGACCCACTGGGGTAGTTAGAGTTCCTCCCATCCCATGAGCCTCTTGTTGGAGCTGGCTTTGGTAACCAGCCAGTGGAAACATACCTAGGGTACTGATGCAACAGAACCCTCAGCCCCCATTGACCGGGCGTGCTTCTTGCCTGTTAGATGACCATGTTCAAGTCTCCCCAGGATGGACTGATGGCTGGAGAAGGAGCTACTAATCTGCTTTATTCACCTCTCACCTTCTCGTTCTGCCCCTGGCACGCCACCATGCATGAGCTCTGTGGACACAGACAGCAGCTGGGACCTGCGGTTTTCTAGGACAGGGACCAATGGCTCACAAGGTCCTGCTCATTTAACACCCCCGTTCCTGTGTGGTGTGGCAGGTGCTCTCCATAGTTTTGGATTTTGTTTCCTCAGTGAGCAATCAGTCAGATTCCCTCTGCGTTGTCGTTTTCGTGGTAGGCATTTCATTAGAATCTCACAGATCCCGAGGCAATCTCAGACTCTCAAAAGATTCACTTACGCATAGCTCTTTGATTTACTGTTTCATGTCTTTTGCTTTGGCTCACACTGTGTGCTCGCACTCAAAGGCTGTGTGTCCCATAACCCTTAAAATGCTCACTTAACTGCAGAGGGCCGATTGCAGGCGAAAAGAATAAGCAAGGTTTGCCCAGCATCTGAAAGATTTGTGTCAGAGAAGTGTACCACGAGCTCGAATGCCTTACCCTAAAACTTCACATGCATTTTGCACCCAGCCTGTAGTAAAATCATGATACAGCTTTTAGGTTCTGTTTGAAATAAGAGTCTGTGTATCTGTGTGTGGCTGTTTGTGTGTGAAAGTGCAGCTACTCTCAGAATCCAGAAGAGCGTGTCAGAACCCTGGGAGCTGGAATTCTGGGAGTTCATTCTTTCACACTTAGCCAAACCTGGCAATGAAAAATTGTGATAAGGGCTTTCCTAGTCCAGCACTTTACCAGTCTGAATGGATTGTGCTTAAAGTCACATGGTGTGATGATGATGACATTTGCAGACTCATAAAGGTAAAACAAGCCAGGAACACGCATGACCACACTCCTTATCAGACACTGTTGGTACAAGTAAGTGGGTCAAGACCCAAATGTGGGAACTGTAAATAATCTCCACTTCACAGGGACGTATGCTTCATGCAATAACATATTGCCGATTCTAATTTCAAAATGTCATAAAACATTTTTTGTGAAATAACTGAACAGCTATACAGAATGGTAGGAAGTATATTATTACCAAATGGGAGGAAGTATATTATTACGGTGTGTACAGTTGTGTATAAGGGCAACAACTAGTGTAAGAGTGAGGGTTTAGAGTCTTGTATGATAAAAAAACAATCAGTAATTCCAAAAAATTTCAAAAACAAGAAAAAGGTTAATTTGGAACCAAACATCAAAGCAACAGCCCATGAGGTGTTTGTCTCTGGAGAGCAGGAGTGCAGATGAGAAAAGGGGGCGGGGCTAAGGAAAGGGGCTTCACCCTCACTGTGTGACACTGAAACCAGACACTACAGGCAGTGACTGGTCCCGGGCAGGTCCTGAAACTGAGGTTTGCCATAGTGATTTTCCTCTTTGAAAGATTTAAACATTCCTTCGGTTTAACCACAAACTTATTTTAAAGTTTATCATGTTTGGGTATATGTGTCTCTGTATGGCTATGTGCATGTGTGGGTGCAGGTCCCTTCAGTGTCCAGGAGAGGGCAGATCACTGGAACCTGGAGTTACAGGTGGTTGTGAGCCTCTTGACATGGGTCCTGGGACAGTAAAAAAATTGCTTTTTAATTTTATTTACTTGTTTTGAGAAAAGTGTCACTCTGTAGTCCAGGCTGGCTCTGAGCTCATGATCCTTCTGCCTCTGCGTCTTGAATACTATGAATGAAGATGAGCATAATAAAGTTTTAATCATCTTAGTTGGTTTTCAGTGAGCATGCATAGTGAGTTCATTATGAGTATAGGCTGTATATACAGCACTGTTTTCTGTAAGGTCTTGATGACTAAAATGAAGCATATAACTCATCACTAGAAAGATCACAGGCCAGCATTTGAAATGCTCTTTTTTTCTCCTTAGAATTGTGGTAAAAACAAAGAGAGTAAATGTCGATGGACAACCTGATTCATAGAGTTCCATTAACTTCTCTGAACACTGCAACCAACTTGAATGGTTGAGAACACGTGGACGCCTTATTCCCATTTTGCAGGGCGGTGGTGGAGGCTACTTTCAGGGATGGCCACTCCTGTGAACACTAGGGATGAAGATGAAACTACCTCTCTGTGTCCAGCAGCCTACGGTGAATTCATAGACCCTGTGTGTGTTGGCTGTTTGTGCAGTTCCTGTAGAATGATCCGGCCAGTGCTCACACGAGGAATAGCTTAGAGATGTTTCTTTCTTAGTTCATGAGCCAGATGTCAGAGTCCCAACAGCAGGTCTTTAACCCCAGTGTTTTGCTGCTGGGAACAGAGAGAACAGCTCCCTGGAACACCTCCTTGTGAATTGCATCACACCAGGTCTGAAGAACAACTGGGAGAAACTGCATTTTGACATCACCTGGAGCACAAGTGGCCACTGCTACCCCCCTGGAGCTGCGTGGGGCTCCATAGCCTTCACCTCTGTCTTAATGGCTCTAGGAACACCCTTATGTTTCTGCATTGTGGGGTCTCTGTTGTGTGAGATGTAGGGTGTTCCCCCATAGAGAGTTGACAATAAATGTCGCATCTGCTACCGTGTCCTTTTGTTAAATCCCCCATCTTAGTGTCAAAGAGTATTTGAGAGTTGCTTGGCTGAATTTTTAAAGGTTTCTGTTGGGTCTGTGATTTGTACCAGAAATAATTTATACTGAAAACTGAGTGTGGTGGTTTGAATGGAAATGGCCCCCATAGGCCCATAGGGCGTGGCACTGTTGGGAGGTGTGGCCTTATTGGAAGAAGTGTCACTGGGGGTGAGGTTCCAAATGCTCAATCCAGGGCCGGTGTCACTGTCTTTTCCTGCTGCCTGTAGCCCCAGATGTAGAACTCTCAGCTCCCTCTCCAGCACCATGCTGCCTGCAAGACACCATGATTCCCACCATGATAATGGACTAAGTCTCTGAACCTATAAGCCAGCCCCAGTTAAATGTTTTCATTTATGAGAGTTGCCATGCTTGCCAGGCAGCGGTGATGCATGCCTTCAATCCCAGCACTGGAGAGGCAGAGGCAGGTGAATCTCTGTGAGTTCAAGGCCAGTCTGGTCTACAGAGGGAGTTCCAGGACAGCCAGGGCTACACAGAGAAACCCTGTCTCAAAAAACAAAACAAACAAACAAAAAGAGTTGTCATGGTCTTGGTGTCTCATCACAGCAATTAAACCCTAGGAGAAACGCTGAGAAACACAGAAACTGAAGACACTTTGATACTGATTCAAGAGAAAGGCATTTTGAAATATTCTGTGTCCTGAAGCTTTGCTAAATATGAGGTAATTGACTTGCTCTCTGTATATCTCACTCAGTCACGCACTAGGGGGCTCTCTAGGTATTTACAGAGCCATGCACTAGGGGGCTCTTAGCATCCACCATCTAGTGAAGCCAACATCACAGTGTGCCTTTGATGTGTCTTCAAGACGTGTTCAAGGGCTCCGTTTACCTACAGCCTCCGCTCCCACTTCAGATTCGCCATGGTCTGCCTAGAAAGTGCCACTCAGTGAAAAGGCAAAGAGGACTCCTTCTAGAGCAAGGCCGCTCTCCTGCTCAGCTTTGCAGAGAACTCAGAGATCATGAAGGTCACAGGCTCTTCCTGCCCCGCCTTCCCTTCATTAGTATGTTCAGCTGTCCAGTGTTATGACTGACCCCACCCAGGCCCTCCTGTTCTTACTTCTGCCCACATCTTTCGTGGTTATTTTCCTTAAAGATCGCTACCACTTGTGACTCTGTCTTGGCCTGTTTCCTAGGGACCAGTATTGGCCCACCCTCTGAGGAGGAGGTGGTAGAAGAGGTAGCTGAAGCTAGATGTGGTGTGGTGGCATATACCCACAATCCCAGTGTTTGGGAAGCTGAGGCAAGTGGATTGCAAGTTTAAGACTAGCCAGGGGTACATGAAGAGTTCCAGGCCAGCTAGTACCTGCTGAGACCCTGCTTCAATAAATAGAGGGAAGGGGAGGGAGAGGGAGACTCTACAAAGGGCAGGGTGTGGGGCAATGACTTTGGTGCTGGCAGAAGAATGTTCCCAGTTGAGGCGTGGCAGCAGGGTGAGCATTGTCTCTGGTGTCCCATGCAGAGAACATTTCTGCTCTAGTTGATTACACAGCTTTGTTCTCAGCTAATGTTTCTGGAAATGTGGCCCCAAAGTCAATCGCTGGTCAAAGCTGGGTTCCAAACTCAGTTTGCTTTGCCTTTAAGGCTCCACTCTTAACAGCTGCATCATGTTCCCCTGTTTCCAGTGTGTGGCGACTGTACTTGTAATCTCAGGTGGAAATCTGGCAGAGGATCTGGGAGTGGAGAGACTGGATCCTGCCTGGAAGCCCTGGGGCAGCTTCATCTTCCGGGGCAGGGGGTCTCTGGTTCATACTGTGGCTGGTTCTCTTTCTTTAAAAAACACTTTTAAATGTACATCTATTTACTTATGCTGTGTGGTGGCCAGAGGGCAACTTGCAGGAGCTGGTTCTCTCCTCCATCCTGTGGGTTCCAGGGATGGAACTCAGCTCATCTGGCT